GAAAGCCCAAACTGGAGAACCTGGGACAGCCCAGCAGAGCTAAGAGGAACCACCTGGGCCAGGCAGGTGTCTGCAAGAACCCTGGGGAAACCTTGAGAGTTGGTGTGAGAGGTCTTCAAGAAACACCTGGGCTTGGGCAGGACAAGCTGAAATGCAGAAAAGAAGCCAAATGGAGAAAATAAACCCAATTGAGCTTGAGCTTGGACACTTGGGAAGAAAGCAAATAGGTTTCCAGGCCGTGCAGATGTTTATTTCAAACAACAGAAAGATTAATGGAAAACCATAAATCATACCTGGCAGGGGTGCTGGTAATGCTGTGGTTTTGGTGGCAACCAGAGTATTATTCGAATAAATAAAGCAAGCAATGGCAAGTCCAAGCCCAACCTGGCTGTGGGGCGGTACCGATGGTGGGTTGGGCTCAGCTGGCAGTGAACGTGTCCCCATTTCTTCCCATTATCATTTTGAAGTCAATCTCAGGAATGGGCTGTGGGTGCTGCTTGGGGGTTTAGGCATCCCCAGGTCAGCTCTGCAAGATCCCACGGCTGTGTCTGCCACCCGACCTCCTGGAGCAGAGGGAGGCTGGGATGTCCCCATGCCAGCCCCGCAGCCACAGTGGATCAGGGATGCCAGGAGGGTGCTTTGGCTGCCAAGACCGTCACAGCCATCACACATGGGCTGTGGGAATAGGAACAAGGGGCTGGGGCCAGCTGCATGCTGCACATCTGAGGGGTTAAATGGGGCCAAGAGGGTGGTTAAAGAGCAATGTGATGCTAAAATGGCACGGTAACCCTGATTAGGCATGGCCAGAGGCTTGCATGCCCCAGGGAACATCCTGCTGCCTATCCCAACCATGAGCAACGTTTTTCAGGGCTGAAGTTGGCACAGGAGCACCCACAGAAGAAGGGTCACCCCTCTCTTTGCAAATGTGTTTTCTCTCTCAACAAACTCCCGCTCTCTCTAACAGCTGACTCCTTCTCGGAGCCCATTTGGTAACACCTGAACGTTTAAGGATGTGCAGCAGCCAAATACAAGTGACAGGGGTCAATGGGGGGAAGCTGAGTGAAATATTTCTGGCCCAGGACATGCAAGAGGTGATGGTCCCTCTGGCTTTAAAAATCTATTACTCTGCTTGTAATAAATCCCCCAGTCGCTTCCCAACATCTATGTTATTTTTAACCATCTGAGAAGCTACATGGTTAATTGCTTTCTTTGTGCAAGCTAATTAGCTTGTGGCCTTTCCCAAACCCCTTTTAAGAACAATCTTCTGAGGTCCAATCATTAGGATCCATTAAAAATGTCCCCAAATTAATGACCTGTGCAAAGTCTGGGCTGGATCAGCTCCAGCAGTGGAGGCGGGAGGGTTCCTCCCCTCCCCGGGCTGGTGGCACGCTGGGGCACCGGTGCCTTGCAGGAGGGACCTGGGCACGGCGGGTGATGTCCCTCTCACCCCGGCCCCCGCTCCCACTTAATGGGATTTTCAGGTCCTGAGGTTAAAACATATTGGCCTTGAGGCAATCAAGGACTCCTGTCCTGCAACGTGCTAGGAACCATTTCTTCTGGGCTTGGAAGTAATTATTGATGGAAATAATTATTCTCCAATTCCATCAAAGGCTGGCTTCGATTCAACCAAATGTTCTCCTCTGATGCATGCTGAGAGTCACTAACGCTCTAAACTGCCTGGTGATCCCCTTGCGCTAAGCTCCATAGACATTGATTGAACGTATATATAAAAAACCACATTTTTTTTTGTCTTGTCTTTCATGTCTTTCATGACTGATATAAAAGTGCTTGCAGTTTGGCATGAATAATTACCATGATCTCAAAGGAGAGGATTCCCACACCTTCCCCTGCCTGTGGCAGGAAGGAGAAAGCCTCTGCAGGCAGTTTGCTGGAGCCGGCCCCGGGAGGGCAGCGAGGATGCTCGGGGAGATGCGGCTGGAAGCGCCCGGCTCACTCAGCACAGGGGACATGCTGAGATGTTTGCTGGAGCAGGCAGGAGGAGGAGGAGGCAGGAAGGATGCCCACGGTTTGGCCTGATGGGCTCAAAAGTGAGGCCTCAGCTTCTCTGCCAACGTCTGGGTTGCATGTTGGTCCCTAAGGATGCTCTGCTGGCCACAGGTAGCTGGGCCAGGACAAGGCACCTGGCCAGCCGTTTTGCCTGCCCTCCATGTTTCTCCAGTTCCGTTAGATGATTGCTTGTGCTCATTTTTCTTTCTTCTTTCTTTCTCCCATATATAAATCCATCCTATCTGTCTGCGAGCGCCTGCAACTCGGAGCAAAGCACGCCCTGGGCAACCCCACTCCATGGACAGCTTGCCTTGTCCCTTCCCTTCCTAGTAGTTTCCATCCAGGAGGGGATTTTTGGGCTCACAGGGATTTTTGCCAGCTTTTCAGCAGCTGGGAGGGAAGCAGCAGGCACACAGGGCTCTCGCCAAGCCCACCAGCCCAGCCCTTTCCCTGCTTTTCACAACCCAGCCAGCCCATCTCCGCATTTTGGTATCAGATCTGGCTTCTCCCATGTTTTCCTTCCCTGACAGAATGTGTTGACAGCAGAGGGAAAAGATCTATTGCTAGAAATGATGCAGAAAAGGTCATTGATGGGAAAGAACCCAGACACTCCTGATTTGAAGGGGAGTGAAACCATCATAAAACACTACAGCCCTTTGGAGGAGAACAGGGCGAGCGACGGCAGCCAGGCTGCAAGGTCAGGGGGGTCCCTGTTTATTTTTACAAGCTGCCTGACTTGCTCCCCCCCAGCCTTTCCCAAAGGCATGTTGTATTTCTGAATCCCACTGGGTTCCCTGCTGCTGGCAGTGCCCATCGCCTGATGCCACCCCATCCTGCCTTCTGGCGTGTCACCCCTGGTTTGTGGTGGCACCACGGAGGCCAGATAACCACGCTGCAGCCCCCGTGCTCCCCAACAGCTCCTTTTGGGGCTGAATAACACTGTCTGCTGGGGAAAGGCAGCGAGTCACTGATGGGCTCGGCACCGGGTGTTCCACTGGAGCCCAGGGTGGTCGTGCACACGGATGGCAGGATAAGGCCACTTCTCTGCAGAGGCCAAGGGCCACAAAGATGATCCAAAGGCTGAAGCACCTCTGCTATAGAGACAGGCTGAGAGAGTTGGGGTTGTTCAGCCTGGAAAAGAGAAGGCTCTGGGAAGCAGCCTTCCACTGCCTAAAGGGGCTACAAGAAAGCTGGAGAGGGGCTTTGGACAAGGGCGTGTAGTGATAGGACAAGGGGCAATGGATCTAAACTGAAAGAGGGGAGATTTCAATTAGCTAAAAGAAAGAAATTTTTTACAAGGAGGGTGGTGAGGCACTGGCACAGGTTGCCCAGAGAAGCTGTGGCTGCCCCATCCCTGGAAGTGTTCAAGGCCAGGCTGGATGCAGGCTTGCGGAAC